TTCTGGCTGCCTGTGTTTGTGGTTGTTCATAACTTTCTTTGTGGATATTGCTATTTTTCTTTATTTCTGGTTATATTGTGATTGTTTTGAGGTCACATCTAAACCGAAGAATGAAATGCCAGTCACCATTTTCTTTATATTTAAATTGTAGGTGTTCAATCTATTATAAAACTGCATTTGTTCACTAGATCACTTTTCTCTAAATTTATTATATATCTGATGCATGCTAAGCTACCACCGCAACCAATCAATCGGAAATTATATTATGTAACGCCAAATATGAACCTTTATTGGAAAATTATATCACAAATTGAACTTGCAGATGGCATTTGTTCTCATTATTTGACCTATTCTGTATATTTTACCCCCTACATCCCATAATATAAGAGCGTTTTTGACACCAGTGTAGTACTTCTGACAGGTGTGTAGTAGTACTAGTTATCTTTATGGCTTCACTGAGCTCATTGGCGTGGTTTTATACACTAGCAAGTTTGACTGATTGAGATTGAGCATGACCTATTTCAACAAACCACATCTAAAGAAAAACCCACCCTAGTAAAAGTTTTTATCGAAGATCTTAAATAATGCTCCCCAGGAGTTCATATAATCCATAGTCTTCACATCCCCAGAGAAAATTATCTTTCTAGTTTTCTCTTAATGAAACATTCTCATACAATTATTTATCTGATATATCTTTTTTTCCTCCTAGAAAGGACCACCTAGCTTGCAACTTGTTACTTTGGTCTCTTGTACTTCCATGTCTGATCTATTTGCGAGGTATGTCATGAAAGCTATGTCCTTTTACTTGCTCAAGCTGTCAAGCACATAGTTGGATTGTAGGTACTTCGTAGTATTGTGAATGTGATTATTTGAAACTAAAGCTCAACAATATGTCCATATCCATTGCCCTTTCTTTTGTGCGCTACTCTGTTTTGTTCAGTTGAAAGCAACATAACTTGTTCTCTGATTAGATTGGCGAAATATTTGAACTTAAAGAAAGAGGCATCATCCTTTGCTGGAAGAGTTGTTGAACCATTGCTGCTGCTTTTAAATGAAAATGGTCCAGTGGCGGTATGTTGTTTTCACCCACAGGCTTACTCTGTTTGATTTCAAGCATGCAAGAGTAAATATGTAATCTACTTCTGTCTGTATTTGCAGGATGAAGCGATTGATTTGCTAAGGACAGTTATTAAATTGTATCCCTCATCTGTAAATCGACACTACAATAAAGTATGTTTACATTTATGTTGTACTCCCTCTGTAAACTAATATAAGAGTGTTTAGATCACTAAAATAGTGTTCTAAGCGCTCTTATATTAGTTTACAGAGGGAGTAGTTCATTTCTTATCGTGAACACATATATTCTTCCTCCAGTTTACAGAAAACTTTAAGTTTTGGTTACGCGTTTAGCCAAAACTTATAAAACTTTGACTCTTATATCTCTTTAAAATACTCCTATTTATGTTAGCCACCTGAAATATTTCTACGTGTACCTTTGTCTCGAGAAGTACTTCTGTAAATCTAAATTTTACTGGGATTTAGAAATATATTTTCATAGAAATTAGTGGTCAAAGCTATGTTTTGGAGACCATGTCCATATCCATATCCAAAAGCTTATTGTGAACTGGAGGGAGTAGTTTTCTGAGTCTAGAAGGGAGAAAAGTTAATCCTTGAGAATAGCTTCGAAGGAAAAGGTTTGGTTAGGTGTTTTAATAAATAAAATTTTGTAAAAGTTGGTTTCTGGGTGGATGTAGGATCATAGAGTTGAAAGTTTGGAATATCTATTTTTTGTTACTGAATTGGAACATCTTTATTGATGATCTACATGAGCTACTATCAATATGTCTAATTGTGATTTAAATGTAGGTGCGTGGCACACGAGAGTTCTTTACGTCACATGTTCCTTTTAGATTTATTTGTCATGTGTCACTTATTTATCATTTTTTTAAAATTAGTTTCTAGTACATACCTCTGAAACTACAGCAAATGTACAACTCCCTACTATTTTACTGGCTGTTATATTATGTCATATTGTGCTTAATTTACACAATTCAGGTTGAATCCACCATTGCAGCAAAGATTATGAGTACAGAAGTCAATGTAAAATTATCAAAGGTGAGCACTGTATGCTTCATGCCTTATCTTCGAATTAATCTTTTTGGGATGCTGTGCAAAGTAACATTTGTGTGTTTTATTCTCCATTTTGATGTTCTTTCTTCTGTCGCTCATTGCCATGAAATTTCTCATTGTGTTGACCAACCTCTGTTTTTTCGCATCTTCCAATCCTTCAGAAATTTGCGAGAGTCTTAGCAATGCTACCTTCTGTCCGAGTATCTGAGGGCACTTGGTCATTGATGATTCAGAAAGTACTGATTGGTATAAACAATCTTCTGAACGATGCCTTTGTTGGGCTGGAAGAAGGTAATGTTTGTCATGAGCTATTTTTATTTTTGGTTGTACCATTTTAGATTGGCTTTGAACAACTTATCTTTGCAGAAAAGAAAGGGCGTGAGATTATGATGCTTCTAGTTCCACCTGGTAATGATCCTCCACCAGTGTTGGGAGATGAAGTAAAGTTGGGAGGCAATCTGCATGTGACAAAGAAATTTCGTGTCTTCACTGTTCCTACCATTTCAGCCCTTGCCCATTGCTGCTGCATGATGCTGACTAGTTATTACCCGGTTCAGGTTTGTCCAAAGCCTCATCTCTTGGTACATTATCATTACTTATTACCTAATGGCGCTGATAAGCTACCGTTAAACATTACATTGCTCTAAACCATATTGTTTTACCTGTCATTGTCAAAAAAGGTCACCGTTCCTGTCCGTGCTTTGATAGCTCTGTCATGGAGAGTGCTCTTAGTTGATGGATCATTGCGCAACAAGTCGTTTCCTTCAACTACTTCCTTGCACCAAGAGCTTATTTGTTTTGAGCTTCCATCATTGCATTCATCTTTCTTGGATTTGCTCCATGCAACTATTAAAGGAATGCGAAGGTACCATGTGTATTGCCTCTTATCACTATTATCTAAGACACATCTCAATGTATGTTTTCCACAAGTTTTAAGCTTGCATCAAATACAGCAACATAGACACAAGTGTTTGATAATAATACTTGAATTTTAAGTAGCTTCGGAAACTGGATTTATTATAGAAGTCTAATATTATTCTGGATCTGAATCTGTACTGGAAAAGAAATATCTAAATTATCTACTTGTCATATTGCAGCCAACTTTTACCGCATGCTGCTAATATTGTACGGCTTGTAACTGATTACTGCAAAATTGCGAAGTTACCTACTACGAGGACAAAAGTTTACAGCATTGTTCAGCTGTTGCTGACCTCCATGGGTGTTGGTAGGTGATTCCTTTTGTTTGTTTGTTTGTATGCTCACAGTTGCATGATTTTATATTTTAAGACAAGTTTTTACAGCGAGTTGTTTTGTCATAATTATGTTTAATCATACCTCAGGGTTGAAATGAAATTGGATCTGCCTGTTTACAGAGTCAGCAACAATTTAACAATGATTCCGCTTATTTTAGAGTGGAGATAGAACACTAATTCTTGACTTTTTTT